TCCCTTCCTTGCGGCTGCTGTGTCTCCTCGCTAGCCGCAGCAGGGTGGCAGAAGCACAGCAGCAGCAGCACTGGGGTGTACATACCGCAGCACGAACTCAGCAGCATCGCTTTCTTTGCTGCTCGCCTTGAGGCTATTGCCGGTGTTTAGCTGCTGCTGCTGCTGCTGCTGCAGCTCAGCTGGGGGTATTTATTGTCTTTGTTACAGCAAACCGCGTTATAGTAATATATTATTATTTTATTATTTTTATTTTATTTTTATTTTATTTTTATTTTATTTTTATTTTATTATATTATTATTTGTATACTACTATATTATTATTATACTATTATATTATTATATTCTTTTTATTATATTCTTTTTATTATATTATTATTATTATTATATTATATTATTATTATATTATTATTATTATTTTATTATTATTATATTATTATATTATTATATTATTATATTATTATTATATTATTATTATTTTATTATTTTTATATTATTATATTCTTATTATATTATTATTAGTATATTCTTTTTATTATATTATTATATTATTTTTATTTTTTTTATTATATTATTATATTATTATTATTTTTATATTGCTATTATTATTATTATTATTATTATTATATTATATTATTATTATTATATTTATTTTTTTATTATATTATTATTATATTATTATTATATTACTACTATTATATTATTATTTTTTTTATTATATTATTATTATATTATTATTATTATTATATTATTATAATAATATATTAATAATAATATTATTGCTGGTTATATAATAAAAATATTATTATATAGTTAATAGTAAAACAACAAAAATAAAATTAAAATAAAAAAAAATAAATAAATTATTTTTTATATAAATAAATTTCTATTATATAAATAATCAATAATAAATAATTATACAAATAAAATAAAAAAAAAAAAGAAACAGCTGCTGCGGTGTATACACACAAAGACAGAAGAATATCCTCTGCCTAGCTAGCTAGCTAGCTAGCTAGCTAAGCAGCTAGCTAAGCAGCTAGCTATACAAATAGCTAGCTAGCTAGCTAGCTAGCTAGCTAGCTGGCTAGCTAGCTAGCTAGGCAACTTGCTAGACAAATAGCTAGTTGGTTGGTTGGCTAGCTAGCTAGCTAGCTAGCTCGCTAAACGAGTAGCTAGCTAGCCAGCTAGCTAGCTAGCTAGCTAGTCAGCTAGCTAGACGAATAACTAGCTAGCTAGCTAGCTAGATAGCTAGCTAAACGAATAACTAGCTAGCTAGNAGCTAGCTAGACGAATAACTAGCTAGCTAGCTAGCTAGATAGCTAGCTAAACGAATAACTAGCTAGCTAGCTGGCTAGCTAAGCAGCTAGCTAGCTAGCTAGCTAGCTAGCTAGCTGAGCAGCTAGCGACGGGCGACTCGCCAGCGGCTAGCTGCTGCCTCGGGCCCCTGAAGGCCCCCCTCTGCTGTCTCCTTTCTGTCTCCTTTTGTCTCCTTTTTGTTCTTTTTGTTTTTTTTTTTGTTTCTTTTTTGTCTCCCTTCTGTCTCTTCTTTTTTGTTTCTTTTTTGTCTCCTTTTTTGTTTGTTTTTTGTTTCTTTTCTGTCTCCTTTCTGTCTCTCTTTTTTGTTTCTTTTTCTTTCTTTTTGTCTCTTTCTCTCAGTTTGTCTCTTTCCTTCTATTTATATTAATTAATTTTTATTTATTTATTTATCTATATTTATTTATTTATTTTATTTATTTATTTTTATTTATTTATTTATTTTTATTTATTTATTTAATCACCAGCACCAAAGCCAACGATAATTCCTGCAGCAGCAATTCTGCTTCCGTCTCTTAAAATAATACGGCTGAGTATAGAAGCATTTTTATCTGCTGCTGCTGCTGCTGCTGCTGCTGCTGCTGCTGCTGCTGCTGCTGGTGCTGCTGCTGCTGCTGCTGCTGCTGCTGTTGTTTGCTGCTGAGTAGCAGCAGCAAGACAAACTATGGGGTGAGCTATTTCTATAACAGCTAAACCTGAATTTCCTTTTTGTATAAATCTAGGTGCTGCTGCAGCACGCTTCTTGCTGCTGCTGCTGCTGCTGCTGCTGCTGCTGCTGCTGCTGCTGGGCTGCTGCAGCAGCCGCAGCAAAACACCAGAGCTGCGGGCTGTGTGTACATACACCTCAAACTTTCTTCCTGGCAGCAGCGGCATTTCTTCATCAAGACACAGCAGCGACACCTGCAGCAGCTGCTGCGGCTGCAGCAGCAGTTTGCTGCTGCTGCTGCTGCTGCTGCTGCTGCAAAGAACAGATCCTGCTGCTGCTGCTGCTGCTGCTTCTTCTATAGAAGAACATAGAAACACCCCACGAGTAACAAACTGGCCGCTGCTGCAGCTGCTTACAATATTATTCTCACTATCACCACCGCTGCTGCTGCTGCTGCTGCTGCTGCTGCTGCTGCTGCTGCTGCTGCTGCTGCTGCTGCTGCTGCGGCCGCTGCCAGAGTGCAGCTGCAGCACCCGCAGCTGCTGCTGCACCGGCAGCAGCAGCACAACATCTCCTGTCTTTATGTTTCCCATTACTATCTTAAAAGATAAAATAATTTGATCTTTGCTGCGCCAACCATCAGAAACTATAGCAGCAAAGTTGCTGCTGCTGCTGCTGCTGCTGCTGCTGCTGCTGCTGCCTGCCTCTGCCTGAAGACGCAGCCAGAAACAAAAGGAAGTAGCAGCAACACGCATTCATAGCAGCAGCAGCAGCAGCAACAGCAGCAGCAGCAACAGAGACTGCAGCAGCAGCAGCAGCAGCAGCAGCAACAGATCTGTCGTTGGCAGCAGCAGAG